GAGGGAGGGAGGGAGGGAGGGAGCTGAGGGAAAGGAACGAAGAAAGAAAGGACAGAGGGAGAGAATTAGAAGACAAGGCAGCCTCGCGAAGCCAACATGCTGCTTTGGGTTCACTCCCTGCCGAGCAGCCAGTGCCGAAGTGCCCATGCCTCCAATGAGGATATCTTCCGGAGACGTATGATTCCTCGGTTGCAGATAGCAGGAGCCTGGAAGACAGCATCTCGGGGGCAATGCCATGAACTCATGAACTTCCAATCTTTTCTGCCCGTAACGTTCTGCCAAGCTTCCGGACCCAAGACATGACGCGTTCTCGCTCCACCTGACAAAGATGCGTAGCTGTTCGGGGTGTCCGCGAAGCTAAAGGTTTCATACGGTTGGACCACCCCCCCCCCCTGTCGTGCATCCCTCGAACCCCACCCAAGTGCCTTCTCCTCATCTCTGCTCTGCGTCTGGTGGCCTGACATCTCGGGACCCGCCCAGCAATCCCATACTGAGGCCTTCGTATGCGGCGATTGAAAGAACCCGAAATCCTGGAGTCTCTCCCCGACTCCACCACCGCTACCTTGGCTCCAGGAGACTCCAGCAAGGTAGAGGTTCGCTTCTGCCATGGCCAGGAGAGCCACGACCTCTTCGACTGGTACGGCACGTATCCATCGGGCGTAGTACAGCCTACTTCGGATCTCTAGCACCTGGTGCATTTCTTGAATTTTTTTTGGTTCTCATCTTAAGGCGTTGAGGCCCTTGGCCATGAGCATAGACTAGTGACTAGGTCGCATGGATGGATGGATGTGATCTCTTACGATGGTTGTCAGGTTGGAGACTGAACTTTACCCGTGAAGCCTGTAACCTCAGCGTAAGCCCTAGGTGGAGCTGAGGACCAGGACCTTGCCGTGGTTGAACCCTGCACAAGGAAACGCGACTAGCGTCATCAACATGATAGCTAGGTCGAGCTCTTCAGTGTGAAGTTGCACATACAAAATCGAGTATTGGGGTTCGCATGACATCTCCGGCGTTGGTTGCTGCACGCACGACTGCACGGTAATACATGGCTAACAAACGCAATAACGGCAGAGACGAGTGCGGTAAATGAAGCTGCAGTCATGTTACCGCTGGACAAAAGTTTGCACGCGGCCTCTAGAACAACATATGAGGCGCTGCAACCCCCTTGCCCCATTAAACCCCTCACACAAGATCCAAAAGGCTCTCCGCCGAGAACTATTCCAGGAAATCAACTACTTCGCCCCGCTGGCCAAGTAAAACGGACCACTCTGCTTCTCCGCAGCATAAAAACAACCCCGTATCAATTTCCCTATCACGGAATTGGCTTGTCGCCCTTTCCTTGCCATCGTGTTACCAATCACAACCACCAATCTTGATGTTAGTACAACTTTTGTACGGTGCCTCGTTTTCGCTGGGGTTGGATTGTGCTTGGTTGTAATACAACTTTAGTACTGGAAATGCCTCGTTTGAAGTCCTGCACTTGGTTGTAATACAATTTTAGAACTGGCAATGCCTCGTTCGGGGTCCCGGCTGGATTGTGCCGGGTGTGGTGCAACTTTAGCACTGGAAATGCCTCGTTCGGGGTCCCGGCTGGATTGTGCTGGGCATAGCACAACTTTAGTACTGGAAATGCCTCGTTCGGGGTCCCGGCTGGATTGTGCTGGGTGTAGTACAACTTTAGTACTGGCAATGCCTCGTTCGGGGTCCCGGCTGG